AAACTCTGAGTGGGATTGGGACATGAATGATGACTGAATTTTGAGCATTCTGAGTCTGAAGTTAAGATGGATATGCATTCAACACAAAACAAACCCACTGTCATTGAGTCGATTCCAACTCAGCAACTCCCTGGGGCAGAGTGGAGTTGCCTAATAGGTTTCCCACAGCCACAGTTTTGAGACATGCAGATCGTAGACGTTCCTTCCTCAGAGTAGCAGTGAATATTAATTGTTAATCTTTCTCTTAGTAGTCAAGCACTTTAACGACCACACCACCAGGGCTACTTCTATGTGCATTAGCTAAGTAGATAACAAAATGGAAACCTTAGGTCCATCAACCTGGATATGTGAAATGATATGAAATTATGAACACTGTTAAAACACAGATATACCTAAACACATAATTAAAGACCAGGGAGCTCTAGTAGCTCAGTAGCCAAAAGTTATGTTGTCAATCCAAAGGTCCACAGTTTAAATCCACTAGCTGCTTAACAGGAGAAAGATAGACAACCTCCCCTCAAGTGATTTACCACCTCTGAAAACACTAGGGGTGTGTGTGTGTGTGGGGTCACTTATGAGTTGGTCTGACTCGAGAGTACATAACAATTGAAGACTAAATACTGTGGTTAGAAAATAATCAGCATAGTTAGCTAAGAAAGCAAACCTACTGCTATCTAGTTGACTCTGACTCACCACAACCCTCCATCAGATGTCTAAGGTTGTAAATCTTAGCAAGAGGATTCTGGTCATCTTCTTCCCTTGGGCAATTAGTACATTCAAGCCCCTGACCTTTCAGTAGATACGGAACATGGAACACACTAGTCTCTCAACTCTCTGAAATGCTGCTGGTAGGTACAACGTGCCAGAGAAACGTGGCCTGTGAGTAGGCAATTCACCTCCTTATGGACTATACTATCAGAGCCCCCTACTAGTCACTGTCATTGTTGTTATGTGCTGTCGAGTTGATGAAATGAGTCTTCCTCTCCTGTGCTGGCCCTCTACTCTTCCAAGCATGATGTCCTTCACTAAGGACTGGTCCATTCTGGCAACATATGAAAAATAAGTGACATGGAGTTTCACAGTCTTTGACTCCAAGTAGTAATCTGATTTCACTCTCCTGTGAACAGACTTGTTTATTCTCTATGGAATGTCCAATAAATATATCCTGTACCACAACAGCAGGCATTGATTCTTCTTTGCCCTTATTAGTCACTATCCAACTCTCGGATGCATAGAAAATGATTGAGAAAATCATAGCTTGGCCCCAGTGCATCCTGGTTTCTAGAGTGACATCCTTGCTCCTTAGCACTCTGGAGAAGTCTCTGACAGCTGACTTTCCTAAAGCAACTCACCTTTTATTTCCTGACTACTAGTGCCAAGAATGTTGATTGTGCATCTGAATAAGATGAAATTGCCAACAACCTCATTATTTTCTCCATTTAACCTGAACCTGCCAACTAGCCCCATGATGAGAATCTTGGTTTTCTTGATGTTGCAATGCAATCCATGTTGAAAGCTGCAGTCCTTGACCTTCTGCAGTAAACACTTTGAGCCATCCCCAGTTTCGATGATCAAGTTTGCTTAACAGGCTAGCCACTAAAGCTCCTTAATAAACCTATTTGAGGCTATTAAAATCATCCCTGCATTTGTTCATAAAGGCCAAACCCAAGCACCAGTATATAAAAGTGTTCTATATTCTGCCTCTTAGCCATCTTACATCTGGTTTCTGATATAAATCTTAACAAGAATAGTGTGCCCATCTTTCTCCCTAAAAATAATTGGAGAATTCAAACTTTGATCTGAGGTTAGCAATATAACCTGCAATGCACTACTTTATCAGATTGCCTTAAAGGAGTAACTTGCCAAGTATCAATGCCTAAAAGTATGATATGTTGTTGTTGATATGTACTGTGGAGTTGTAATCCACCAATAGCTGGCTGTATAGTGGATTTTCAGAGGCAGCAAACCACATGGTAAATGATTGCCTGTCTTTCTCCTTCAGAGCAGCTTGTGGGTTCTAAAAGTCTTCCTTTGGATTGGGAGTACAGCTCCTTACCACTGGGTCACCAGGGTTCCTTAAAAATATTATATAGACAATAGAAAACATCATATGTCAAAAAGTTTGCCCTTGGTTTCAAGCTATATTCTGTTAAAACAATTTTTTTTATTTTACTGTCATAATTTTTTAATTCCATATGCTTTATTTCCACCTCAAAAACTCGGGTTTGTTGCAGTCACTCCCTCTTTGCAGGTATGTATCAAATGCGATTAAATTAATGCAAGTACAATGCCAGTTAATTAAAAATAATCAGATGGGTTCAAATGCACCAAATAAAAAAGAAAGACTATCTCCCTATTACTTGCAGAAGACATATAGCTTTAATGGTACAAATGGTTGTTGCTGTTACGTATTGTGGAGTCAGAACTGACCCACAGCTGATGCTCCAGCGGTTTTCAGAGGCAGCAAATCACATGGGAGGAGCGTGCTCATCTCTGTCCTGCAGAGCAGGTGATGGATTTAAACACATACCTTTATTTGGCAGTCATTCTTTCCCACTGAGCTACCATAGCTCCCTAATGATACAGATGAGACTATTAAATTCTTTATGTTAAAAATGAGCAGGATAATTACTGTCTTTAATGAGCTGTCGATCACTAGGGATACTCAAATATTTATTAGAAAAAGTGTAAATAAACATTAAAAGAGATGCATCAAAATATTTATAGAACCAAGAGAAAATTCATTCATCTAACTGCACAGGCTCAAAATTACAACCCAAGAATTCCAAAACCCATACACTCTGAAAACTGGTATTTTATTTGCAAGGATGTAGAAAAATTAACTGGTAGCAAAACCACATCTGAGCTAGCATGAAACTATCTCTAGTCTTTATTTTTTCTCTTTCCAGGCAATAGGAATATTTGAGAATTATCATCAGGAAGGAATGTATTTCATTATGGGATAATTTCCAGAATTCTTCTGGAGGAATGATTTACAATATTCAGTAATATATACAGAAAATAATGAATTTTTAAACATAACTGACCTCCCAGATATATGAATAAGAGATTGTGCACCAGTGAATTGAAAATCAAAACAACATTTTAGAGGACATTATGCTATTAATTTCTAGTATTCAACAGTTGTCAATGTTTTACTTTTAAGGATAAATCTATGACATGTAGTTGCATATGGAACTCTTTTCTAATTTTTACCTTTCCCCTTCAAATTATCTTATCCTAAATAAGATAATATGTTTCAAACATTCCTACATAATCATCAACCTTTTGTTTGAATTAAGGAAAGTATTCATGAAATATTTTACAGGGTAAAGGTTCAAACTGATATTGTCAGACTTGGATAAAATATAAAATGAATGTGAAAGGCATACTTTCATTGTTCTATACTTAGAAGTAAAAAATCAGTTTGCAAAAAGAGCTAGACTTTGATTCTTAGACCCTCAGGTAGGGGAAAATGAGAACACCGTGTAGCAATTAAACTCAATTAGAAACTTCAGTTGCCTACTGACTTAGTGCACAAAGTATCTGATTTAATCATAGGCTTCTTTATGGGGCTACAATACTCAGAAAAAAAATAATTCAATGCTTACATGTGAAGTAAGGTTATTGCTTCTGAAGACCCACTTTAATAACAGTGTTCATCAACTCTCATGAGAGAGTGATAGATTTAGAAGTTGTTTTGTGGAAAAATAACTTTAGAGACTATAATGTCCAGCTTGAAAACTATCAATTTTGAAGTTATTACAGTTATCTTCTAATCCTTTTAAAGAAATCAACAGATTCTTTGTAAGTAAGCAGTGCAGATGAGTTATTAGAAATAGTATTTTATTGGTAAAACAGACAAATTGACTAAAACGGAAAGGGACTGGATCAGCAGTTATCCGCACAGGATTGCAAAATTACCTACTGAAAATATGGCAGAGCGTTCTAGATAATTATTTTCTGTTGTAGCTTTGGTGGTTGTGTACAATTTTGAGTGCAAAGAGATTCATAGCTGACCCTTTAGGAGGTTTTTAGATACAGTAAATATTCTTCTGCAAAGGAGCAGCTGGTGGATTCATGCCTTCAGGTTGACAGTTCAACTCCTTACCAGTAAGCTACCAAGGGAGTCAGAAACCTTTCAATATCATACTATGACTTAATAACAAAGCTTAGTTTAATATGCTATCAAGTTGCATGGTATATTTTTAGACAATTATGAAAAGATATTTGTTTAAAACATAGCTATAGAGAGAAGACAACTCTTCAACATTCTCTATATTTGTCTTAATGTCAAACTTGCATTTAAAAGAAAACCATTCATTTAGGTGATGATATGGGTTTTTTTTTTCTCATACTAAAACACAATTATACCAGTTTTAAGTAAGTAAATGAACTTTTACCCTTAGCATAATTATTTTTTATAAAATTTCTGAAAGTTCCAACAAGGTTCTAAGATTAAGTCTGATGCAATTTCCAAAATTTTAATAATAAAAATAAATTGGAAAATATTTATATGAGGGGAAAGTAACACCAAGTCTTTTAAAGAATTTTTAGGTATTTTTAAAAGCAAATAATGAGTAAATCATTTCACAGTAGACTCCCATACTTGTAGTATTTCCAAAGGCAGACAACACACAATTGAGAAATGGAAACTAAGTTATCTCCAAATATCGTAATTATTTTTCAGATGTAAAGAAAGAAAACTACTTGTCGTCCCATTCCAGTGATTAAAATTGACCAACAATTGATTTCGTACCCACATCAAACACACAGGAAAAGACCAGATCGCAACTTCTGTTTCACTCCCTCCATCCCCAAAGTATCACAACAATTTTCTGTGAAACAAAGTTTCCTGTGAAATAATTAGCTGTCCTTATTTTTTGTAAAACAAGTATATCTTATCTTTTAAAACAGTTCACAAGAATACAGATAAATTAAAACATATTTAAGATTTATCACACTCAAGTATAATGGAAAACTGATTTCAGGAAGCATACCTGTGGTAAGGTTGAATTGAGCTGCCTCTGGAGTGAATCTCTGTCATAGATGACATCCTGAAGTCTTTGCTGGGCTAGGGAGAGGCTTTCCTGGGTCTCCCGAAGGGTGTCTAGAAGACGATCCCTTTCATCTAGCATATTCACCATCAGCTGCTCAAAATGGGAGTCTGAGTCTGAGCCACTGCTTTGGGACCCCCTTTGGCTCATTGGGGTGTCCTCGTTAATCGTGGGCATCACTTCACACATCATTGCTTAAAAAAAGAAGAGGGAAATCTTAGGAGAAAGTAATTTCCAAAAATGTCTCTTAGCGCTCAGTTCACTAAACTCTTTGAAGCTCATCAGTTACCCTTTCTGTTTTCCCCCACCTGTTAACCCACTCCTAGATGTTTTGACCTCCAGTATACAGTATATCTCTTCCTCATGGCAATGAATTTATCTTCTAACTACAAAATACGCTTGACTTCACCACATAAGAGTTTTCCGTTGTTTATCTCCTCTAATTTAATTTATAATTACATCATTAATTTATTATCTATCATTCCCTGCAAGTTTACAGTTCCTTAAAAATTATATCACTTTTTTTACCCCTATTTGTTATTATATTGTTAATAGCAAGTGCAATGTCTGGAACTTAGAGGTAGTAAGTATATAATTTTAAAAATTACTTTAATAATTACAAGAGCCAATGATTCATCTTTATTTAGAAAATCCACAAGTGATTTATTTTCTATAATAATCAATTTTTACTTCCTTTTTTGTTTCACACAAATTAGTTTCAATCTTCTTGACATTAGAATTCCTCCCTTTTTAACTTTATTATGCTCTCTTCATGATTCCACAGATGTATAGGGAGTTCTGGTGCCCTAGTGGCAAGAAGCTGTCCTGCAATAATGAAGGTACACAGAGTCTCATGCAACTAACTGCCTCTGAAAACTCACTAGAGCACGAGCTATGGGCCAGTTCCAACTTGACAAAACACAAAATAACAACAATAACATATACAGAATAGGTGGAGTAATAGTGACTGAATTAGACTTTTTTTTTATAAAACCGACACTAAGGTACATAAATTTATTTAGTTTATTTTGTTCATCAGGTCACTATGTGTTGTGCTGGACTGAACAGTAATTAAAAACAACAAATTACAAAAAATTCCTGTGTTACCTACATTGTGTGTGTCCCATCTAAATAATACAAACTAACCTTCTATGAGGTGGATTGATTCAGTGACTGGGATAATAGGGATGGGAGTGTCAGAGACAGTGTGATTGGCACAGGACAGAGCAGAGTTTAGGGCTGTTGTACATATAGGGTCGCTATGAGTCGCAAGCGACTCGACGGCACATAACAACAACAACAACTTTCTTTCAAATATTTCAAAAAACAGATGCCACAAATTGTTATAGCTAATGTAGCAACTTGACATCTCAGTTGTAAGCTGTAAACTTCCAACTATTCAGAATTTCTTAAATCATTAATTTAAAATAGACAAAACATGCAATATTGGCGTACAATATGCCATTTTAAAGATCATAAATTATCTAATTTTATTTTTTAAATAATTTTTAAATGTTTAAAAAGAAAAAAGTCAAACCCATCTCAATTTCCATTGATGTACTGAGACTAAGAGTTATTAGAATACTTGGCTTTGAAGAAACATAGTTCGAGGCCACCAGCCACTCCATCAGAGAAGAATGAGCTATCTCTTCCTGTGCAATTTACTGCCTATGAAAACCCACTGGAGAGTAAGCTATGAGTTGGTTCTGATTTGATGGTACACAACAACAACAATGTGGAGAAAGACTAGTTTGCATGTTTATCCAAGAACGTTCTTTGTAATTGACGGTCCTGTCCTGGGGAAAAATATTTCTCATGACACTTTTGACAAAAGGTCAAGATTTAACAGCTCGGGATTTGTCAATATGCAGTTAGGGACCTCCCCAAGCTATTCAGGTGTAATGATGTCAGTTTGAGGACTAAGGTACATCTGATTCAGTCTATGGTCTTTGCAATCACTTGCTATGCATCTGAAAGCTGGACGATGAATAAAAATGACAGAAGAATTAATGTCTGTGGTGTTGGAGAAGAGCACTAAACAACCCATGGGGTGCCAAAAGAGCAAACACACATGTCTTGGAAAGGGTGCAGCCAGAGTGCTCTTTGGAGCAAGGATGATGAGGCTTTGCCTCATAAACTTTTTGGCCTGTTGCTGAGGAGGGGGTATTCCTAGGAGAGGGACATGATGCTCAGAAAGGTAGAGAGTCAGAGAAGGAGAAGAAGACCTTTGACCAGGTAGATTGACACAGTAACTGCCCTAATGGGCTCTAATATGTCAGGAATATGAGAATGGCACAGGAAAGAACAGAGTTCAGATCTGTTGTTTATAAGGTCACTAAGGGTCATATTAAACTCAATGGCACCTACCAATAAAACAACAACAGCTCAAGAGTTAATTATTCTATGCGATTTTTCACATAAACTTAGTAATTGAGTGGAAAAATTAAAGTATCGGGGATGATTTTATCAAGGTCCACTGTTAACTTGGAAAAAGTTTTCTCAAAGACAAAATGAAAGTATTTTGTGACTTATAAGCTTGGTTAATAAAAAGAATGGAAAGGGATGAATTTTATCACAAACACAATGAGCTAACTGAAAGCAGGAACTTGGGTTAATTTCTCATTCACTCTAAAATAAATAGCAAGTGTAAACGTGTAAAACACATTTAAAGAAACTTACACAACATATGCATAATATCACACACACACACATACAATTTCTACTATTATTATTCATCATCTGATCAATTTTCCTTATTTAGATTTTCACTCAAGACCTAAAGCAGAGAGAAACAGACTCTAACTGCTACAAATATTCTTTACATTAAATTAAAACCAACTGGAAATTTTAAAAGTTCCAACATATTTGAATATTTAAAATATTTCTTTCACAAGTCACGGGTGGAATCCATATATTGACAACTGCATTACACTGGATTAACAGGAGCCAATGTGTTTCTTTTTCTCACTAAAGACCATGACTCCATAATAGGAAGAGAAATGGGAGCACTTGGTGCCAATAAACCACAAAAGTTTGTGATTTAAAGTGACTCTTAACAGTCCTAAATCTTCATTTTAAAGCATTTACCCTTAAAGGAAAGTTACTAGCTTTTCTCCCCTAAATTACTTACAATAACTTTAAATTCAAGGAAAAGCATAACTGTAATGAATACCTGAATGTGTCATCTAAATTCTAACATGTGTCATCACCCTAAGGCATTAGACATTCACATACTTTGGGCACTTCATCTTTGATTTGGTCATCTGGAACATGCTATGATGAACAGCTGTATAGATTTTTTAAAAACTGAATAAATACATATTCAGAACAAACTTATTTGAGCGCTTGATCAGTCTTTCTTGAAGCATGTGAACCAAGGCAAGTCACATGACTTCTCAGAACTTCAATTTTCTCTTACATAGAGAGAGTAATGAATTTAGATCTTTTTCTTTTCTTTAACAAATTCATTGTAAGCATACTAAGAACACACAGTGAAAATATGAAGTACACTTATATAGTCTAGTATTTATATCTATTACAAAGCTACCAACATTCATCTTGGCAGAATGTATATTCATCCTTTATGACTCATTCTGCTTCCATAACTTAATGTTTAATATTATTAGGTACTTCTAAACTCACCAAATTTGATTACACTAAAATTAAACAATGTGATGAGAGTTACTTAGAAAATACTCCCACAAACAGTAAGCCCAAATGATTAAGCAAAAGTATTCCAGACACAATTAGAAAGAAAAAAAAAAAAAAACAAAAACCTCAATCTACAAAAAAATTATACTTTCCTTAATAAGGTTAGTTTTCATAGTCTATCCAATATAAATTTCCAAATTATCTACATAATCCTTAAGAAGTAGTATCAGTTAATGATCTTGTAAGTACACATTTTGGGAATTAAAAACTTTTAAAATATGCACTCAACGTAAGAGTTAAACAGTCCCTTGGATGATAGATATATGAGGCTTTTTGTCTGGCTCAGAAAATGCTGTTCACTTAAAGTCTAAGTGTATTTCACTCAAATAAACCAGTTTTAACTTTTACACTCCTTTTCAATATTAACAAATGCATTGCATGATTTAATTCTTTAGAAACTAGTAGAATAGTAATAGTTTGCTTTGACACTTGCCCTTTCATCACCCCTCCCCAAAGTCAATCAGACGTATAATGCTAATCATCATCTCTGGACAAATTCATTAAATTACCCAATGGTTGAAGACCCAGTTCTAGACCGTGTTATTTTGTTTCGAAAGAATGAAATTAGTGAATTTTGTTGGCTTAATTAGCTGAGTGCTTAAATTCAGCTTGAAGAATTTATATCAGGCAAACCAACTCCCTTATTCTTAGCACATAACCTTGACTGTCTTCTAAATCCCTCAGATTTCAAAATAAAAGTTTTGATGCCCACCGGAGTCATTACCCAATGGCTCTCATGATTCAGTGTGTTCCTTAGCAATATGTGCCTTTACAAGCAGCACCTATTCACATATAACAGAGCCAAAAGGCTTTTCCTTTTTTTTTTTTTTTTTGGTCTGTCATTGAATCATTTTAATTAAAGAGATCACTAGGGTTTAGACACTACTGGAGGCAAAGATGCAATCATTCTCTATAGTTAGTTTCTCTTACAAAGATGCAGTCTTAAGAACCACCTAAGCGCCACCTTAGTTAAACCTCTGGGAGTAATTCAGCAAGAGAAATCCTAGCCATTGTGTGATTTCATTGCATGAATATTCTTCTTTGAAATCCCTGCCCTCTGTCCTCAGAAACATTATTAGCAGCTCTAATGGAAGCATTTTGCACTTTCTTTAACCCATTGCATCTACCTATGGCCAAAGCCTCCTCTCACCCCACACTGCTGGACAGCGATCTCTCAGCCACACCCCCACCACCAACCTGAAGAAGTTGACTTCATAATTTCCATACTAAAATTCCTCAACCTGCCCAACAACGGGAGAGTCAAATGGAAAGGAGGCAGAGAAAGCGGAGAAGGGATGGGGGTGGTGGAAACCCAAGGGTACCTTACAGTAATTGCCAAAGAGAAATTTGCATCTCATCTTCCCTGGGGGCGGGGTGGGGCCAGGAGGAGGTGGTTTTTAAAAAAAAATTCCATAAGAAAATAACAATAAGGAAGATGAGAACCCCTCAAAGTTCAATAGTTTCTGTACCTAATGCCTGTAATTTCGGGTCCTGCTGCTTCTACAGATCAATGACAGCTGCAGTCTCCGGCTGGCTGAGAGGGGCAGCTCACGCCCGGCGCTGGACCATTGCCCTAGTAAGGAGAGCAGAAAGGTGGCTGAGAGACGCGCGCGGCCCTGCGCCCTCCCGGAACGTGCCCCGGCTCGGTGGCGCGGCAGCCACTCGGCATCTTCCAGCGGCTCCGTCAGCAGCCAAGAGGAGAAGAGCCCATCGGAAAAATGGCATATTACAAATTTTGCTTTGGGAAGCAGAGCTTGGTTCAGACCATTCTCAAACCGAGGAGAGGGGGAGGCGGCTCTTAAAGCAGCAGCGGCCCCTTTGCCCGAACCGCCTCTGCTACTTGCATGCTGCTGGAGACCCCAGGGCGCAGAACCCGGACGCGGGACTCGGGATCACTTTCTGCAACTTAACCGAGCGTTCGGGCCACCCTATGTGAGCGAATAGCATGAGGATTATGAGGAAGGGGAAGTTCTCCACCCAGTCCTCCACACCCCAAGACCCTCTGGAGTTGATGGCTAAACGCCAGGAGCTGGAAAGCTAAAAGGAAGCGATTCCCCAGAGATATGGGAATCAGGACACTTCCCCTTGTTGCTCCCCTCCACCCCCAAGCTATTTGCTCTAGAATGTCTTCTTGCACTTGAAGGAGGCGCTTCTTCCCCAGAAAGGCAAACAGCCAGCCCTGCACACCCAGTCTCCCCTCCCAGCCTCTTTGCAAGCCGGCTTCTGCTTGCATCAGTTGGCAGGGAGAACCAACCTGCTGGGAGCCTGGAGGAAGCTACAGCATCTTGTCTCCTCACTTCCCTCGGGTGGATGCTGCTACTCCTCCTCCGCCCCCTCCCTCCTCGCCAGCCGCACCTCCTCTTCCTCTGGAACAAGGGCTTCCCCTGAAAGCTGCTGCAGTGGTTTCCACCGACCCTTAAATAAATTCTGAAGTAATCACGTCTTTGCTCTCCTCCTCACGCACACGCGCTGGCTGATACACACGACTCCCGCGAAGGCGCTCCCGGCTGGAGGAGCTCGTGCGGGTCCCCTGCCCCTGTGCAGGCAGGTGTGGGATGGGAGTGCGCCCTCGCTCAGCCTGCCTTCCCACACACAATGATCTCTGCGGGGAAGCGCGTGCCAGTTCTCGCTGGTGTGGATGGAATGTGCTTGGGCACCTCCTGGCACGCTTGCCTTCCTTGCTTGTCATTGCTTTAAGCAGCTTCCTGCTCTCTGGACCACAGCATAGTAGTTATGACTGTAGGGACCTCAGTCAGTCTAGGGTGTGGCAGCATCTGTCACTTCTGATTATCTCTCTAAAGCTTCATTCATTGTTTGGGCGATGAAGATTATAAGAACCAGTGCCCCCATTAAATGTAAATTCTGTTTTGGCATTGGGTTCTCTATACCTACACATCCCTTTACCTACTCGTCTTTTCTTTCTGGCGCTGTTGTCCATTCATACAAACTCACTTGGACGGTGTGGAAAGCAAGAGACAAAACCAATATGTATTCTAAGCAGAAAAGAGACGTTTCGGTGAGGAAGGTTCAATGTTCTCGTTTTTAATAAAAATAAAAAGGGCACGAATGAAAAAAATCAGTTAAGGGTTAAAGACAGAAAAATGTGTGAGCTAGTAGTGCAAGTTTCCTTAAATATCCAAAAAGATGATTCTACTTTTATACAAAGTAAAGAGTCTGAAGCTATCTAAATAAATAGTACTCGAATGTCACCTCACTTGAATAAAGAATTATAGGCATGGAACAATCTTTCTGGGATATCACTTAATTCATTAAGTGACCTAATAACGGACATGTGAGGTCAGGCTTATGTGTTTAACCCCTTCTATTCTAGACTGTATTTATAATAACTGCATCACAAGATAATCCTGTTTTAGAGAAGTATGGAAATTAACTAATAGAGCCATTAAATGTCAACTGGAGCACTGCTTTTCCAAAATGATGTGCATATGAGTTACCCGTGAGTATTGTTTTCTTGAATTTGATCAATATTGTTGGAATAGATTATAAGATTCTAAATTTTTAATAATTGCCAGGGGTCATAGTTTTAGTAACAAGAATCTAGACCTCCCAAACAACCAAGGAGTAATGATTCATATCCTTTAGGCACAGGAAGCTGATTAGCTCACAATAATACCTTTAATCTTGAAGATATGCCAAATATTGCAGAGGCTTCTTCATATTAATTGTATTTCAGTACTCTAATAAAGGAGCTTTTGTGGCTTAGTGGTAAGAAGCTGCACTGCAATCCCAAAGGCATGCAATTCAAATCCTCCCTTACAATTTACTGCCTCTGAAACTTTGGTAGATGGTCAGCTGTGGGTCAATTCTGGATCAGAATATGTACTGCATTGGAAAAGTCTGCTATCAGCAATCTTTCCTCATTAAGGAGGAGCAATCATGCCAGTTTGAGGACAAAGATGCACCTAATTCAGGCCATAGTCTTTTCAATCACATGGTATGCTTCTGAGAGTTGGACAGTGAATAAGGGTGGCAGAATAAGAATTAATGTCTTTGAATTGTGGTGTTGATGAAGAGTACTGACTAACCTATGGACTTAAAAAAAATTAGTTATATGTTGGAAAAAGTACAGCCAGACTGCTTCTTGGGGGCAAGGATGGTAAAATTTCATCTAACATTTTGGGAGAGGCTATTCCTTGGAAAGAGATATCATGCTTGGAAAGGTGGATGATCAATGAAAGAGAAGACCCTCAATGAGCTGGGCTGACCCAGTGAGTGTGACAATGGGCTTAACTGTGTTGTAGATGGTGAAGATGACAAAGGACAGGGTTCAGATCTGTTGCTCATAGAGTTGTTATGAACCATACTCAAGTTGATAGCACCTTACAACAACAATCTCCTTCCATGCAATTAACTTTCTCTGAAAACCTGCTGAAGGGTCAGCTATGGATTGGTTCTGACTCGATGATACACGATAACAATGATCTCCAAGAAGCAATTAAAGTTTACTCAATGCAAGTTAAACAGATTTTGGAAAACTACATACCCACCTGCAGAAAAATAAAAGAGGAGTCTTAATACACAAAATAACTCAAAATGAATTAAAACCCAAAATATTAAACTTAAAACTATAAATCCTGGAAGAAAATTATAGAAATTAAAGAAAAGGATCAAATGATAGGACCAAATCTTAAAACATTGAAATGGCATGCCTAATAAAGTTACATAAAAGTAGCTAAACTATATAGAAATATATCACTAAAATATATAGAAAATTTCAACAATCCAGCAACACAAAACAAGCATCTCAGCTGAAATTGAGCAAAGGACATGAAAAGATATTTCATCAAAAAGAACTTTTAAAAGAATTTTAAACCAGTCAGTGAACATATGAAAAGATGTTCACAATTGTTTATTATTGTTAGTGCCACTGAGTTAACAAAAGCTTAGAACAACCCCTTGAGCAACAGATCTGAACCTTGTCTCATCCTGTGACATATTTGCAATGTGTGCCATGATCAAGCCCGTTGTAGTTATCATTGTGTCAATCTATCTTTTTTATGGGCTTCCTCTCTTTTGCTTACAGCATGATGCCTTTTCCAAAGGACTGGTCCATCCTGACAACATGCCCAAAATATGTGAAATGACACCAACCTTGCCTCTAAGGAACACTCTGGTTGCACTTACTCCAAGATATGTTGGAGTGGTTTTTATCGTTTGGGACTTGTTTTTGTTTGTTGTTGTTGTTGGTTATTTTGTTGTTCTTTTGACAATTCATGCTCTCTTCAGTAATCTATTCAATAGTTTACTCAGGTAGATTCAAACTTTATTTTTTGAGAAAGTTTGAAATCCTGGCCCTTGCTGGCAAGAATGTAAGATGGTACATGGTTGTTTGTTCTTGGTATGTGCCTTCAAGTCACTATAACTTCTTGTTGTTAGGTGCCATCACATTGAGTACAACTCATTGCTACCCTATGAACAAATTATCTGAACCCTACTTTATCCTGTACCACACTTCCTGACTCACAAGAGCCTATTTCAGCAGTCACTGTGTCATTCTACCTGGTTGAGGGTCCTCCTCTCCTTCACCAATTATCTACTCTTCCCAGCATCATGTCCCTCTCCAAGGAATAGACCATCCTAGCAGCATGCTCAAAGTATGTGAGGTGAAGCCTTATCATTCTTGCCTCCAAAGAGCACTCTGGCTGCATCCTTTCCAAGACAGTTTGTTCTCCTGGTGGTCCACACCACTCGTGTTTGTTGTTGTTGTTATGTGCCATTGAGTCACTTGCACTCTTAGTGATCCTATGTACAATAGCCCTGAAACCTGCTCTATCCTATGTCAACCTTACTATCTCTGACACAACTATCCTCATTATCCCAGTAACTGAATCATTCCATCTCATTGAGGGTCTTCCTCTCTAGCGCTGTTCCTCTACCCTTTCAGGCATGATTTACCTCTCCAACAACTGGTCACTTCTTATAACATGCCCAAAGTATGTCAGACAAAGCCTCAGAATCTTTGCTTCCAAGGAGCAAACTGGTTTCACCCTTTCCAGGATTAACTTGTTTATTCTCCTGACAGTCTATGGTATACTCAATACTCTTCTCCAGCACCACAGCTCATAGGCATCAGTTCTCTATCATCCCTAGTCACTGTTCTGTTTTCTGCTGTATACCAAGCAATTGTGAAGACTATCGCCTGGATAAGTGCACCTGTCTCCAGGCTGACATTGTTGCTCTTCAGTACTCTGGAGAGGTCCCTAACAGCTGATTTTCCCAATGCATTCTCTCTCTTCATTTCCAGGCTGCTGGTAGCAAGAGAGTTGATTGTGGAGCCAAGTAAACTAAAACTGTTCACAATCTCAATCTCTTCACTATAATATTGCTGTCAATCAGCCCAGTGGTGAGAATCTTTGTGTTCTTGAAGTTGAGGTTCAATCCAGTCCTTGACCTTTTGCAGCAATCATTTCAGGTCCTCCTCAGTTTCAGCAAGAAGAGTTGTGTCATCTGCATAAACCAAGTTGTTGATGAATGTTCCTCCAATTATGGTGCTACATTCCTCCTCATACATCACAGCCTCTGTTCTGTATATAGATTGAAAAGGTATGGAAA